AAATCATTCATTCCTTTATTTTAAAATAAATATAAGTAAAATAAATACCAACCGATAATTCATTAGCAGAAGAACATAAAACGAGAAGTGTGCATTAAAGTAATGTATAATGCAATCACATTTATACTTTTACCTAACAACCTATCACAATTTCAGATAGCAAATTTCAACAGATATGTACATTAGTGTAGTATGATTGGTATGTATAGATGGATGAAGATGGTATGTGAGTAGATGATGTGGTGCGTAGATGATGTGGTGGTGCCACGATTCAGACACCTATTTTAATTGGTTGAGCGAAGAGTTGGAGTGCTTCCCATCAAACATTTTCTTAGTTGTCAACCGTCCATCGTCAAATATTGATTTTATCGAAAATGCCTTTTGTATTTTAATTATGAAGTGTCTTAAGTTCAATTGCGATATTTTTTCAAAGATATTTCATAAATTCTTTACAAGTTCAGTGAAGTACAGTATTTATAAAAGGAGTAATGAAGATTCTAAGATAGTCAATTCTACGAAAAGCAGGTAGGCTGTAAGACAAACGAAGATGAAAAGTAAAATAGTGTTGTAAGGAGTAACATGCCTGTTTTGTAGACAAATCCAGTCATTGACCAATGCATCTTTTGCAGATTTGCTAGTCATGATAATTTGAGGAAGAAGCATTCGATATGACCAATCTTCATCTATTTTAAAATTTTCAAAAAGATTTGTAAATTATCTTCTTTTAAATGGAACTGTTGAAACCATTGTTGATCCAACGCGTGCTCATTATATCCTATATTTTTCTTTATTCTCGTAAACAGCAGAATTGGAGTATGTGAAAATTTGTCATAGTTGACAAATCTTTTTATAATTTATCAACATTATCTTGCTGTGTTCTGTAATCAAAATGCATTCGTGAGAGGCGCTCTTTGCTTTGCATGGTACACTTTCGTAAAATGTAATCACTGTTTTTAATTGAAAATCGATGATGACAAAAGTTAGGACAGCAAAGCTATATAATGTTCAAGCTGTATTGTTATTAATCATTATTATTATTAATTATTAATAATAATTATTATTGTTATTACTATTAATTATTAATTATTATTACGGTAGGGAATGTATGATTGGCTTTGATCTCATGGATTTATTTTATGATACCATAATGAGGGATTATCAGGTTACATCCGATACCACCAATTCTTATTTTGCAACTCCATCACCATTATAGTCGTGATGAATATAAAAAATATGATTGAAAGGAAATGACAAAATGGTTGATAATGATAGGATAGACGATTAATTTAGTATTTCCATACTTGATCTGTCTTGAATATATCCACGTAACGAAACAAACATGTCAAAATGGTACATGCAACAGGATGATAAGAAGATGGTACGACACAGAAGACAGTCGAGTGGGACAGGACAGCAAGAAGAGAGCTTTTAGAAGGGCGATGGAATGTCGTCCTCAACAACTATTAACGTAACAGTTGCGACTTTCCTCTCACTTTCACCTATATTCATTCCATTTTTTCCTTGCATCACTTGCATCGCTTGCACGAACCAACAAAACGACAAATGTATTGCAGTTCACCGAAATGTGCCACACGTACAGTACAGAATACAATTTACAGTGATAGAATGAGTATAAGATACCTGGATGTTCATCTCCAATATATTTTCAATTTCAATTTCACTGCTGGTCTCTTAAATTTTAGTATTCCTTCTCGGTGTATATTATATATTATGTTATATGTGCTGCTATGTTAATATTATATGTTCTTTTTCTCTCTTCCTTTCTATTCTCCGGGTTTTCAAAAACGGTAAAGACACTCACAGTTTTTTTCTTTAGGGTTCTCTCCCTCTCCTAACCAGGAAAACTGAAATCATTCCGTTTTCTCAAAAGCCCTACCTCGTTATTCCGCTTCCACTCTCTTTCTCTCACACTTCATTTCCTTTCGTTCAAATCTGCGCAGGTTTTTTTAAACTTTGCTAGAATGGGTTTTTGATATGACAAAACGTAGAGTGCAATCGTAGTCCTTCGCCTACTCTCATTCCTTCTTTTTCAAAACTCCTCTCAGTCCCACCTGTCTAAGCATATTTTATCCTTATCAGATTTTTTTCCCTTTAATAATCTGGTAGTAGTAGAGTAGTAATAGTAGTAGCACTTTTTTTTACATAAAGCTGTTGTGATTGAAGTCGAAGATTCTTTAAATTCTAAGCATTTTCGGTCCACTTCATATTCCATCACATCGAGTGTTTTCGTACACGACCCTCGCTCCAATAATAATCTATTGTAAACGTATTTCAAATTTTGTCATTTTCTACTTACCCCTTATTTTAAAGCACATGTAATACAAAAGCTAAAGAAGCTCAAGTATGTATCAATTTATGCTACTTTTTTTTATACCTTTTTTTCGTGAATTTTTATGAGAAATAATGCCGGAGCTAATAATGTTAAAGATTGAAAGAAAAAAAAGTTCATTATGTAACAAAATCAATGTCATAAGTTTTAATCCTTTTTATGGAAAGCAGTTCTATGAGGGATGAAAATTTATAATATATGTGGTAAAAATATAAGAAGTCAACTGATCTAAAGTTTAACAGAAGAATAATCTATAATTTTAGATATATAAAAGAAAACTTATTGCTCAAGAATAGATATTATATTGCCAGAATGTGAAGAGAGCGCTACATTCTTAAACTATATTCATTTCTGATTAGACGACAGCACAGTCCTGCTGACGACAAACCATCTAATGCTTTTAGAAGTTGTTCAGTGATGCTGCCCTCCTGAAATAGAGAGATGAAAAAGCGATATTCAATCATGCTAATTAGAATAGAACTCTGTGGAATCATCATCAGCTAAACCCTGTTAAATCCTGCCTACCTTCATTGTTACTTTCTATAAAGGACCCACTTCAAAAAAAAGACCTATGTCCTTATGTATATCTCGTGCCCTTATATGTCTCTCATCAGCTTTCCTATTCAACTGTATAGTGCGAAGTCCTTCATACCTTTGTACCATTACTTACATTTTGTTTATTAACTGTAGATGATTGCAATCACTTGGCCTCAACTGAGCAACACCAAGCAATGGATCTTTTAAAGTTTAACTTAATGGTTCTGCATTATCCATAGGTTCTATTGTTACCATGGCAAATCTGAATTAAAAATCAATCCATTCATTTCGAAGAATTACTGGAAAGCAAAAAAGTTGATTGTCGAATGTCTTTGAAGGTTTTCTAAAGTGATCTGCAGCAAGTTAGTTTTTTTTCTCAACTTCAGAAAATTTTCAAGTTTTTCTAATTTTGTTTTTGTAAAATTCCATCCAGTTACCTAATTACCTAAAATATTTTCTTCTCCCACAAATCATTAAAATATGAGTGAAATCATTTTTAAAATGTAGCTTAATTTTACGAATGATTTGTGGATAACCAGCAGAACTTTTGCTGATTTTAGATGAATAATACATTTGTAGCAAGCATTAAGGATATATCAGTCAGCTCAAGCGAAAAAATTATTTTAATTGGTACGATATAATTTCAGGGGGAATATAAATTGTTTGTCAAACCTTTTTTCTCAATTTTTTATGATTTCTTCCTCGACATTGCTGAGGGCATGTCTTTAATCTTTAAATACATCCAACATCATTTTAACCTAACAAATATCTTTATTTTTAACAAAATATTTATACTTTTTTGGATGCTTGACTTCTGGAAGCTGCACGAATTTCAAAAAGTTTTAACAAATTATTTCATTGGTCTTTCTATAAGCTTTTCTATATGTACCTAAAAAAATCTGATCCCTTTGTCAACAATTTTGATGTTATTCTATGCCATTCTTCTTTTTTCCCCCCTCCTTTTCTCTGCCCTCCAAAATTTCATTCTAATTATCATGTTTAATACGATTCCATCCCTCTGTTTTTTTTTGTTCACCTTTTCCGCCTCCAATTTTCATGAATTTTGTTTTGATGTTTGCATTTAATGAATCATATATGTGGGTACTGCGATACAGATAGCTTCTTCTTTATGCATCACAGATCGGCTACTATTATTTCCTCTGTTAGCCTATATTTCTTAAGATAATTTCTCAAATTTTATAAGAAAACTCGTCAAAATTTGTAGAGCCTATTCATGGTTTTGATATTACTAATATATCTTTATTGCATGGGGAGAGCCTAAAGGATGATAAATACGAAAAGCTTTAATGATTATACTTGATATTCAATACATCAGTGTTAATATCTTTTAATGATGAAAACTCATTTTATTCCTAATAATATTCAAATTATTGCAACATTTGACTTACTCAGTTGATGAAATTACTCTAATTAATTTTTGAAAAAATTAGTCATAGCATAAATTACCAATTATACTATTTTCTTTTAAGTAAGCTAAAAACATCAATGGTAATAAAAATACCATATATAGTAGGACTACTCTGATTGTACAGTAAATAAATTTTGGATTTACTAGTTGATTAGCATCCATGATTATAAGAAAGCAAATTTTTTCAAAAGTTCAAATATTACTGGTGGTACGCTAGCACCTTTTTTTGATGAAATATCTCAGCACTGTAAATAACAATGACAAGTGAAATTTTTAAAATCCCAAATGGATTAGCGTAGAATTGATAATAAAGCTATCTATTATGCAGTGATATTACAACTTTAATCCGGTTTTACTATTTCAGTATTCCATCAAGCGAAAGATTTATCATTTTATCATTATCAATAACATTTAATATTATCATTCAAGCATTTACAATCACTGTCATTAGCACATGCATTATTATCTTCCTATTAATTGTGAAAGGTTGGAAAAATTTTCTGGCATAGAGAAACAGCTTTTTAATCATCAAGAAGTACAGTAATGTGGTAAATATTTCCTAAAGCTGATTAGGAACCATGCAATATATCTCCAAAAGGAATATTTGTGAGTGTCAATTGTCCAACTTAAAAAAACATGGCTCATTTCTTTATATATTCGTAGCTGTTTATGATTATATAGCGAATGCAACATTTTTATCTAAATTGGATGATGATTTCGAGGTTTTTTTTTTCTTTTTATTGTTGGGTGAGCTATTTGCTACAATGTCTTGAAGCAATCGATGAATCTATATGTACTCATCGTGAAATTTGTTTTGTTTTCAAAAGTTTTTACATAATTTGCGATATATTCAGGTTCAATGTTGACACAGTCGCTGACTCAGTAAAAAAGCCAATCCTGTCGTCAAAAACGCGTAAAGCGATATCAGGGCTGCCTGCAGCCAGGCGCCATCAACCAGCACCATTCGAATTTTCCAAGTATGTTACATTTATTGCTGAAATTACATTTGTGCTGTTTAAATTTTCATCGTTATATGCATCATGTCCTAAAAGTTTACTGTTATCTGAAAGCGCACTTCATATGATTCTTAAAGAATCAGACTGTTAATTCAGTAATATTGACGAAAATTGTGGTTTATCAGGAAATTTAAACTGAAAAGTTTCTAGTTTCTTGAATTTTAAGAACTTAACAAAATCCCAAATTAGAAAATTTACATTTGTCATGTCTTACCGATTTAAATAGTCTATTGATTACATGTTTTATGATTCATACGGTTAGGTGATTTTTTTTCTTAAAATTCCTGATTCTATAGTGCTGCCAACTCATTCGACAAAGTTTTCAGTCTTTTTTTTAATCTCTGCAAACTGGTCCTCTTATTTTTGAATTATCCAGCTATTACTTACTGACTGACTACAAAATTATTGACATTTAATGTGCATGTTTGTGCGTCCAATTGTTAATTTATGGCGATATTTATTTATTTAGTTAATTACCGACATAACTTTTTTAGATATTTGGATAAATTCTGATTGCTTCAAGAAAAAAAAAAACATTTCGGCAATGTTCTTCTTGTCTATTTTTGCTTTCATCGAACACATTTCCATTTCTAATTTTATTTAATGATTCTAATACATAATAATGCTCGTGCTGTCTTGCTTATTGACGCAGTGGTACTAAGTGCTGAAAAACAGCGTTATTGATTTTTATTTCTATTTTTTGAAGAAACAGCGGAGATGAAAGCATTACTTTTAATATATGGACGCATTGACAAATTTTTTGTTAATACGACTTTTGTTGTATATTGTCCACTAATTCATCTTGTAAAAAAGCGTGGATCACGCTTGTTAAACGTTATTTCTACGTGATACAGATTTTCTGTTAATTGACAGACAGAGCTGTTAAGTACCATTGTTACATTTATTATAATTAACGAATGCATTTTCAATTTTTTGATAAAATATAGGTAATGAGTCAAGAGGAAAACTCAACATTAACGATGTTGCTCCCAAAAGGATACAATTTCAAAAGCATTCCCTCAGACAAAATTTCAGCTTGCTGAGAATTTCAAATAGCTATGTTGCATTTATCATCTTTATAGTTCGTGGTTTTTTGATCATTCAAAAATCGTATCAAAAAATATTTAAACTAAATGGAACAGAGGAAATACTAAAAAATAAAACAAGCACTCCTGCGCCTATGAAAAAGTTTTGTTAAAAAAATCGCAAAGAGATAGGTACAAACCTACATTTGCTGTAGTTGTTATCAGCAGAGTTTCTGTGATAAAGTTAATCTTATGAATTGATAAGCATTTATTTTTCTAGAAATTAAATTTTATCAAAGCTTTCCTTTATATAAAAAGTATTGCTAAATTGCACTTAGTTTTGATAGGCCGGATAAATTTTGATAAGTCCGATGAATTAATTCAAACATCCAAACGACGTTCTTCGTTCAATAACAGCAGGATATGCTATTAACGGAACTGGTTGCACTTGTTTCAACAAAATATTTCGTGCAAGAAAAAATGGTTCATGTCTTGTGAAGTGATATTTCTTATCTTTTTATGTGGAGTGCTTAGCTGCTAACTAGTACTGACAAATGGTGACATTTTTGATAAAGAATGTGGAGAAGTTCATGTTAATTCATCAATGAAATGTGATGATATTCATTTGCAATAATTTACGGCAAGCGATAGGATGTTTGGAGAAAACGGGAATGCTTTAGTGGGAGGGAACGGAGTTCTAATAGTTTTTATCGTTCCTGTATTACTATCTTTCATAACTCCTCTCATGTCTTCAAGATTTTTTCTTGACACAAACTTTGGACACAGAAAACATATCGTTGTTAGGTTTTTTTCTTTTCTTATTTAAAGTTATCAATATATTTCTCAGTGATTAGAATTTTTTAAAAATTAAAAAGATGATTAGAATCAATATAAACATTTCGTGTACTTCTATAATATTATCAGCAATGTTAAAAACATTCATCGATTGCATTCGTTAATATTTAATCATCTGTTTTTTTTTGCACTTTCCCTACCAGAATTACATTTATGAGCGCTGAAATATGGTACTGTGATAGAAGCTGAGAGAGATAAGAAGAGAATAATAACATCGATTGCATGGTCAGAAAAGCTCATTTTCCGGATGGGAAATGATGATATCGTGATAGGCTAAATTTTTTTTTTGTTAATTTGATATATTTAAAGTAAAATGAGAGATTTACAACGATAATTCCAGTAAATATTTCTGAACCTAATTAAGAAATTAATAAAGCGATTTTTTTAATATTTTTTATTCTAAAAGGAAAAAAATTATTTTTAATAAATATTGTTTGAGAACTTTTTTTGCTGTTTATAACAAAGTCTGAAATTTTAATTCTGTGCTGTACAGGAATATAATAAAATAATACCGTTGTTGCTCTGTTTGCAGTGGTTATCCAACCAGTTCACGTCATCCATCAGCATCTGGTTCAACGTCATATTACTATTCACGTGGTGGAGGTTCGTTATCGTCAAATGCTCCATCGCCGGCAGTACTACCTTATAATAACACCCCATCACACAATGGAGTAATCGAAAATTCAGCGATGAGCATTCATGGTAGGTTAATTTCAAATTTTCATTTTCACTTATCTCTTGCTCTCTATATGATTAAATTTCACTGAAATTAACCAACCATGAATGCTCATCAAATATAGGTAGCAGTCGACATCCGAGTGCTGTGGAGAGTGATACACCATCATACTGGGTGGAACATTTGGCAACATTTGCTGTTGGTCGAGAATTCGGCTTACAATATCCGGAAGACGGTGTCAGAAAATTGAAGCAGTTGGAAAACAGTAGCGCTATATGGGCACAACCAATGGTACTCAGATTACGACCTAGTGTTGTCTCGGTTGAAGACGAAAATGGAGTAAGAATTATTTCACTTTTTACTTGAATGCTTAATTTCTGAAGTCTATCTTAATTTCTTTTGTAACACGAAGGAAGTAAAATGACCCAGTGCATAAAAAGGAGAGATTTGACGGTTATTACAGATATCGAAACACCATACTTATTGTAACAAAAGTAGATGTATTATGTCGAATTTGCAAACGGTTTATTGCTTTGCTTAAATTTCTATAATTCAAATTTTTTGATTTATACCTAACAGTTTATTGAATTGAGTAACTGATCTTTTTGTATTTCTAAACTTCCAAAACCTTCAACTTATTTAATTATATTGCTGTAGAAATAATCCTTCCACTCATTTCCAAGAGGAAAAAGGAACCAATAAGCTGTTGAAAATGAGCATATTGATGTTCAGACCTTTTTCCATACTTTAATTTTAGTCTATTTTGGGAGTACAAGATGCTTATATCTCTCCCTCTTGAGCGAGAAAAGGGTTTTGATATATCATAATGTTAGTAGCATGATAGTTGCACACTGTGGAGTTCTTAAAACAAGGTAAAGAACTGTAAAGTTGTTTACCGCTTCAATTTACAATATGAGAGATTCTTTCAGCCTTACGTTAGTGAGTTACAAAGATTTCGCAATGCTCTCTACCTCAAACAAAATTCTCTTCCAGTACCTTCGACGCTTTTACATCCATCCAAGTCTTTGCAAAACATTTTGCCTTTCTTCCACCTCTTACCTCGCCATCATCATTTTAGTTTTCCATTAAGAGTTGAAAAGTTTTGATCCTGTTGGATTTATTGGAAGAGTTACTTACCGCCTGCATATTTTTTGCTGCATTTACGATTGATTACTAATCTGATTTGATAACAATGTGATTTAATCCATAAGAAAAACCAACCCAACGAGAAAATCTACCAACCTCTTCGGGAAATTATGTTAACTAAAAAAAGACACCTTTCAAAATCCGAAATATTAATTCACTCGAGAAATTGGTACAAAAAAATAAGTACACACTGTTTCGTCAGATAAATAAATCGGAAAAGAATATAAGCCATGGATATATTCATTACGTTAATGGTGAAAGTACTTCGAGTGATATTTCGAATTTCTAACCTGCCGAAGCAGTGAGTTACAATTGTTACATCAAATAATAAGAGGCAGTTTGGAACCGAAAAATGTCTGTTATGCATGGGATGCTTTTAAACTCGAAGTTCTAAGTTTTCATGGATAAGCTGTGAAGAGCTATTATATAGTTATAAAAATAATCATTGCAACGGTATTTGGAATGAGAGAGTTGAATAATCTTAGAGCAATTTCACAACTGTTCTTGAAAAAAAAATCAAAATAGCAAGTGTCTTCATGGTCAAATGACGTTGAAAAATTTGAATATTTCTAAATAAAGTTTAACATATGTTAATAGGTTAATACCTATGGTAACTTTAAAACAAGCATTTAGAATGAATGAATATCCGCAATGTCTCCGATTCAGGTGATCCACCTTCAAAATTGCATATTTTCAGAGTTTCTGGAAATTTTGGGAGGAACTTTGTGCACATTCGATGGCTTAAAAAAGCTAAGACGTGCTTTTGAAATAAAATTTAACCTTTCCACACTATTTATTTTGTTTCAGGATCTTGTAGAACAGTTTCCAATGGAACTGGTAATAAATCCAACTGCGCATTTGTCTACAAATCCCCGCGATGTGTACAACAATATTTTATTATTTATCGTAAAAGAAGATAAAAAGCGTGGCAGAAGCTTGAATCCCACCGAAATGCATATTTTCCAGGCATGTTCATTCTTTTCGAAGTTTTTAATTTCGTCGAAATTTTTAAAATTTTTTAAAAAGAAACAATTTAGGTATTGGTTTGCTTTTTGTGTCGTATCTTATGATACTCATCCTCATTTCAGTTTTGTAGTTGAATATGTTTTAGGATAACCTTTTTTTGAAAAAATTTTTTATATCCGTAGGCACGATAAAGTAGTCACACATCCATCAAATAATGAAATTACTATTAAGGCGTTAAACTGCTGAAAGTGGGGAAAGAGGGATCCCTTTTAATTTCTTTATCAGTCAGGCAAACCAAATAATGTGATAAATGTTTTTTTAGTGCAATCGTGTCTCAGCAAATGATGTTGTGGATGATATAAAATCATTTCTATCGGGACATTACAAAAAAGTAAGAACGGGACGACGTGATACGGGCTTCATGATTGGGTATCAACCGCCATTCGTGATGGGTACGTTTTTTTCATCACTTAATGCTTAAATTAAATAGGTTTAGTTTGAACATTTGCCATTTGCCAATATGTAAAATGTGGCAAGGATGTGGTAAGGATTGACATTTTCTATGAGCAACAAAGCTTAAAAGTCAGTAGTAAATGTTGGTGAAGTATCTGCTGAGTTATACTTTTGCAGGGCCACCACCTACGCGAGGTTATCGTGATGACACTTCCGCCAGTTCTGACAGTAGTGAATCATTTGAAAGGGATGTGGTAAGGATTGACATTTTCTATGAGTAACAAAGCTTAAAAGTCATTTTCTGAGCAGATTTATACTAGAGCTACTCACTTTGCTTATTACTGATGATATTACAATACGAGCTGAAGAATAGTGCAGTTCTGTATGGCATGTTTAATTTCATCACATTTTCTGTCTTAATTATCAAACATTAACTCCTTTGTGCTAGATCATGTCATAAATTTTGTTGAAGTATACTTGATATGATATCTACTCAAATTCACAAAATTTTACCCAAATTTTTCAATTTAATTTCAAAGTACTTTAAATATTTTACAAATATTCGATTTAGAACACATTAAATCGATGTTTCGATGACATAGAGCGATTTGTTGCCCGTATACAATCAGCTGCAATTGCTCAGCGCGAACTTGAAGCTCAAACGCATCGACAGCGTTCCCATCGTAAGCACAACTCACGTGCACCTATTGATCCACAAAGTGGTATTTTACAAATGCGTGCACAACTTCCCGCAGAATTTGAATTTGTTGACATTTTGCAAAAATTCAAGTTGTCATTCAATTTGTTGGTAAGTTGAGATATTTTGGATGTTTTGCTGAACTATCACTGCTAGAGAGCAGTTCGCTTGTATTTAGATTATTTTTTAAGTTATCAACTATTTCGAATGAAGAGGCCTTTCAGTAATGATTCTCAAATGCAGATTGAAATTTTCATCAGTCTTTTTTTGTCAGATTCAGCTTGAAAGTCACTGATATCAAAATGCCTTTCATTTCATTTCTTCAAGAAAATGCACTTTTTTAACAGGCTAAGCTCAAAAATCACATTCATGAGCCGAATGCACCAGAATTATTGCATTTCCTGTTCACTCCGCTCACAATCATACTTGACGCATGTCGTTGGGGCCTCGGAAGAAATGTCGCTCCTCAGGTATAATTTACGATTACCGGACATTTCCATAGTATTCATGTTGGAGATTTCGAAGACACTGCTCACTTTCTCAAATGTATAAAAGAACAATGAAGAAAATGCATTTAGTTAGATGACATGATAAAGAAGAGAAGGTAAAATAAAGTTGAAGCTATTTACGATACATTTGGCATGGCGGTAAGGTACGGCACGCAAACAACGAGCTTTGATTATAAAAATTCTAATTTTATTAATGAAATTAAAACCGTTAAGGAAATTTTAGACAAAAGTCACTCACGAAAGTAACTGCTGTTTTTTTCAGGTTATCTCTCCATTGCTTTCACGAGATACTCGTGAATTGTTGCAGAATTGTTTAACAAGCAGAGAGTCTGATGTATGGATGGCTATGGGAGAAGCATGGAGAATAGCGCCGTCTGTTTTTCTTTTTTTATCAAATTTTACCTCATTTTACGTATATAGCAATTTTTATACGCTTAAAGCAGTTAGCTTTGTAAGCTAACTGCTTTAATTTCCAGCATATTGAGTATAAAAATAAATAAATTAAAATTTAACTTAATTGTTTCGAAACTAAATCAGCTTGATGGAAAACTATATTTTCTAAATTCATTTGCAGAGAAGATTGGATTGGACCATTGCCTAAACCTTATAGACCTATATTTCTGGACGGTTTTGCACCATATGGTTATCCAGATAATTATGGTGGTCCACAAAGTCCACCGCGATATCAGTCAATGCCACAACCGATTCATCGTGGTGTGAGCGCACCACCGCCACCTACTCAAAATTCCTATAATCATCGACCACCTATCAGGGATCACTCTGTTGATAATGTATGGGAATTTTGTTTATAGCTTATATTTGTTTATAGTAATTGCAGCATAATTGTGAGGAACTAACTATAAGTTTTTATCGTACTGGCAAGCATAGTGAACTTTTTCGGGTTTTTGTTCGTTGATAAGTTAAGTGATAACATTTTATGATAGTACAGATATGGTGG